TAAGACTTAACTATCATACCAAACTTTATCATATCAATTTTCCTATATGTTGTTTATTGTCACGTGCATATTATATCAGCAAATTTTTATTTTTCTAATAAAATGCATGTTTATTCCCACCCACTTCGTAAAGTCAATTTCGTGGACAATTTATAGCAAGCATATTAAATTTTATGTTTTCATATTGTTTTGTTTAGAAATATAGCTTGTAATGTACTCAGTACCAGAACTATTAAGGCCAAAATAATATGCTGCCCAATATTACTGATATACGAATTATATAAAAAAAATTAGGTTTTTAATACCAAAATGATTGAATGTTTCAAAGAATACTATTCAAGCTTAAAATAATAAATATCATACCTTAGGCGAGACATTTTTTATACCTTGTTTAGCGAACTTGCTGGACACAAATATTGTTGATTTTTAACAAAAATAAAATTTTATTTTTGGCCAATTAACGCACCCGCCGCCATGGAAAACCGGAAATTTCAGAAAAAAAAACGAATGTTTTTCTTCATTCTTTCTACGCCCTCTGCTGCTTGAAATATCCAAAAATAAGATATGTATATTTCTTCATATTAATATATAAATTTGAAAAATTCAACCATCCCATTTTACATTTACCAATAAAATTTTATTTTTACTTTCTCCTCTGTCTGGATGTTTTTGGCAAACTATTTGCTAAATAAGAAAACAAAATTACATTTTTATTTTTATTCTGCCCTCCTCCGTACGTGAAACATGGAATATATATAAAGTCTCGCCTTAACCTGTATTTTAGCCCTGACCTACAAAAAATATATGGGAGAGGGTGGCTGACAGTAAACCTTAAAATTAGGCTAATGGCAATAGTTCAGTACGTGGAATATCTAGTAGTGCATCAGCGGGAAGGTGGGGGGGAGTGTGTGCTCCCCCACCGCGCAAAAAAAAGTTTGCGCCCCTCCCAGTGGAAATATTCGAAGCAAACAAACGTTCAAGTTTGAAAAACTAGTACCTAAACATCTTCATTTTTTCCTCAAAAAAGTCCCCACCCCCACAAATAAAACTAATGGATGCAACATCATCCTCAACACATTCTATTAATGTTTTACTCCAGTAGAATTATATTTAGAATTATACCTGGTTAGGATTAAAAAGTCTTTATGATCACACAATAACGGTCATTTATGTGTTTTAGTTCCACTACGGTGATAAGGGCGCTTATTGGGAGTATATGGTATAATATATTTATAGCGAGTATATACGCCTCCCTCGAATAAATGCCCCTCAAAACCATTCTAAACAATAAACGCCCCGGGGCATTCCAAAAAATACTGTATCTGATTGATGACATAATCTGTCAATGATCAAATTTCACAGTGTCAACTGAAAATGACATGCATACATAATCTTGCATGCTCACACTTTTGATGCAAGTATTAAAACACGACAAGTAAAAAATGCGCAAGAAGCGGCAACATTAAAGTTTAATATGAGAATTCGCCTTCAGGGTCAGACTCACTATAATCATGCAAACACGGTCGCCCATGTTTCACCAACTGGAAATGACAAATATGATAATAATGTGGAAAGTGTTACCGAAAAATAATATATTAGAAAAATATACCAAATTTCATCGAGTTTTGAGCTAACAACAGAGTTATGACAATTTATAGTCATGAGTATGCAAAATTTGTGTGTCGCCAGATAAAAAATACTGTTTTAGCAATCTGCCATTCAATAAATGTTGTGTACCACAGGGCTTATAGTTACTGAGTTGTAACCTGGTTGGAAGGTTGTCAATTTGTACTATAAGCATTTTAAATCATTTTAAATTTAAAGGTGGGTTTAGTATGGTTATGGTACAGTTTCTGTGTCTCAAATGCACGTAATTTACGTTACATAACCATAATTGCTAGGAAAAACATATATTATTGCAGGAAAACTTTAAGGTAATAACTAATATTTGCTTAGTATAAGATGTTATGAATACTGTATTGTTAATTCGGAAAAGTAGAAAAGTCATCTATGCAAAATATGGTCTTAAACTTGAAATTTTGATTGTCGCTTTTAAGCAGTGAAACATAGTTACCTGATTTCTTCATATACCAATTCAAGAATTTGAACCAAACTAAACGTGAGAAGTAGTTAAGTAATAAGCATGGATACAGCGTCAGTAAATCATCATTGGTGTTAAGTAATCATGTTTAATTAGTAATTGTAATTAAAAAGGGTAATTTACGTTACAGTAACCTACGTTACGTTTTGGAATATTAATCCATATTAATGAAATATAAAGAGGGCATAGAACTATTATAAATGACTTTATGTTGTTGTTTATATAGCATGTAATAAACATCATTTAATAAAAACATTGACATAACATAAAAACTACTGCAGTGGATTTGTGCGCTTTATAAATCTTATTATTATTATTATTATTATTATGGGCGGTGGCTGATATATTTACTTTCTTTACATATATCCTAACATACAGTAACTCTCTATAGGAATGCTATCATTCATGGAAATTATTCCTATTGCATATATTTCTGATTTATGTTGATGGTACGTATATTACAGTATATGTGTACATTATAATCGCGAGTAAATTCATGAAAGCAAACATTACACATTAAATAAATTTACCTAATTAACATTGTTTAACATCAAATAGATAAGATGACAACAAATATGTTTGCAAATAATCTTTGTAATGTTCTATTAGATGAGTAATCTTAGTAACGTAGGTTACAAAACTTTATCAAATTGAAAGAATTAGCAAAACTGGGGGCTTAACCACATATCTTTAAAAAAAAGAACATGTTATCAACTACTTCAATGATATTTTTTTTCTTAAAAACCATACCTTTAAAACTAAATAAAAACAAATAAAATGTTCTTGTTGTTGATTTTAGACAAAAATACTCTTTTATAGTCATTTATGATAGTTTTGAAAAAATGTGCTCATTTTAAATGTGAGGTTATTATTTATTTTTAATAACATACTGTATATACTCACAAGTGAGAAGAGAAATTATAATTTTGCTTTATTTTACAACGATAGACGAATAGATCGGTGTTACATAATTATATGAAACTTAGGTTACTAAAATTTAATACAAAATGCGATTATCATTGGAAGTGTATGTTTAACAAATTTATGTCATTTGTTACCAGAGCATCTCTGTATGATTGGTAATTCGAAAGATATATGTTGTTTGTTTTCTTTAGTGAGCGAAAATGAAAAGTACCAACCGGATTAAAATATATTGTTATATTATTACAGCATCAATTATTCAAAACAATATACAGTAAATGTGTAATTATTTGGGTGTGGCACTTTTCCCCCACTTGTGTTTTATAGGTCATCCTATGTATAATAATATTTATAGGTACATTTTACACTCAGTTACAGATAATCATACTTATCTATTATTCAACATTGGTTCAGTAACTTACGTTATCGCATATCAAATGTATTGATATTGTTAAAGGGTATGCTGTGAAAAAAATATTTGAAGTTAAATGTTACGATTTTTAGGGAATTGTTCTTGACATATTAAAGTTCCGTTCTAAAGAAAACCCTTTTGTTAATTGAACTTTATTTTTCTTGATTTGTAAAGTCCATTTGCACATTTATAGTGAGTCTGACCCTTCAGTAAACCATTATGATGATCCAGACTGCTTCAAGGATGTGACATTACAATTTGTTTTGTGTTCCAAAAATCCGGCCCGAAATCGCCAAACGGTGAGAAATCGCTGAAAATCAGCCCTTTTTTAGCAGTTTTTTTAACGTATCTTCGTTAATATTAGACCGATTTTTTTGGCTGTTTTTGAAACTTGTTCCTTATTTATTCAGCTATAATGTCATGTTATTTTAAATTTTAAAATCAATGAGGTGTCGTCGGAATCTTTTTTTTAAGCCAAGTCAGTTGGCGATCGCCCAGTGTATTAACTCCTATCTGTTTACACAATTTTGCGATCATGTTTTACAAAAATCACTCTAACTTCTGAACCAGTGGGCCGATTTTAACGGCTGTTTCGGTATGTAAAAATAGACTAATCAAGCTGTCTGTTAAGCTAAAAATCAATTTGATTGGATGAGAGGTCTCGTCGGAACGCCCATTTCTTTAGAGACATT